GAACTGGTCCTGATGTGTCTGATTGTCCAGCAGAGAGAGATGCTTCCAGTCCTTCATTCTGATCCAGCTGATCAACAGCAGCTCACATCTTCAATCATCAGTCAGCCATTAGTCCAGCCTCTGAACTGATAGCAGGCTTTTCTACATCTGTTACCTTATCAGAGATTTTAGATTTTCCTTTATGTCTCATTAACTTTAATGTTTCACTATTTTCCTCTGATGCTCTGATGTCTCTGATCTTCTTCTCTGCTCTGAGCCTGCAGCAAAATCCCTGATTCCTCAGACTTTCTATTCACATTGGAGGTTTCAGAGCTTCTTCTGCTGCTGCTCTTTTATTTTGTCATCTTTATTATTCCTTTATTTAAAAAAAAAACTCAATGTAAACCTGAGATGTTTGTTTCTTTCTTGTTCAGGACTTCTTCACAATGTTCCTAATAAACTGTCCGATTTAGTTACAGAAGCTGAAAATGAACTTTCTGACACTAAAACAAAGGATATTTATCATATTAAGAATCTTTATTGTCGTCATCAGACAGTAACAACATTTTATAAAGACATCCAGCTCAGGATGCAAAATTTAAAACACAGATCAAAACTAAAATCACTCATAGAAAATTAAGAAGACATCGTTAAAAATGTAAATCCCTCTTAGAAGTAAGAAAAGCACAAAGTATTAAATATAAGAAAATATATTTTCACTTTTATTAAAATATTTTGAAACACTCGTAGAAAACATAAACATGTAAATGCTTAAAAGCTGGGCTCCGATGCTGTTGGAGCCGAAACCATTTTGGTTTAAACTTTGGGCTTTAATTTGCTCCTTGGATCATGGACCAATGATTATCACCCTTGTTTTCCTCTCGTGATTCTTTTGGCTTTTGGTTGTTTAAACCAGTGGTTCTCAACCTTTTTTAACTGGTGTTCCTCCTCAGCCATGTAGTTATACCAGGAGCGTCAACTCAGTCAAACTTTTTAATGACTTTCTAAAAGCAGAACAAATAACAACTGATTATAAAAGGAAGAATATTTATTCAATCTACTTTAGTTTAAAANTAGGGTATTCTATTTATTTATTTGTTATATTTATTTTGGTCACTTTAGTTTATTCTTTGTCAGTATTTAATAACATAACCCAGGTCTCTTAAGTTATTTTTCTTTAAAACAATTGTTATGGTTAAAAAAGTTGGTTAAATAAATATTTAATTGGAACTCTGTGTTTGTGTTCTTTACGAAAATTAAATAATTTAGCAATATCATAAAATGTCCAGGCAGAGCTGCACATAAAATATGGTTTCATATCTTTTCAATAATTATCGATATCAATCAGTATACATTTTTTTTCATTGATAAGCTTTTTTTCTATATCACCCAGCCCTATTTTCAGGAGAGAATCTCGATCTTAAAGTCTCCCTCATCCAATCAGTTTATCAAGGATCAGGCTCCTCTCAAAAGTACTTTGCCAGTTTTGGAAGCAGCAGAGCTTTATTGACAGGTAACTATTGCTACAAACTAGGCAGCATCATAACATTAAGGAACTCAATAATTTCTGATACTTCTGAAATAGAAAGCACAACTCTAAAGTAGGTGATTATCAGCAGTTATTTGCTAACCTGGCACTAGCCATGTGGATCCTTTAATTTGAATTCTACTCATTATCCATCTGGAAAGGCTCTGGTGGTTAGTGTTTGCCAAAGGGAGGGACATTCAGTACCATTCTTGGTGCTGATTGGGTGGATCAAGTGACACATGTCTCCCATGTGGAGCTTTTCGCTAACCATGGCAGCAGTAACAGCTGTGATGTATCACAATCTTAATTTGTTTTACAACGAGAGGAGTTAATTGATTAATCAGACTCTTGGACCATGAAGCAGGAATACTGGGTTAGCAAGACAACTTCAGGTTAGCAGGCAGGCGCCAGAAAGGTCTTAAGTTTGATTGATGGTGGATCTGGAAAATGACAATAAAATTAGGATGCTTTCTCTGAGTTAAGGGTGGAAGTGTGGTGAGGAAAACACAAACCGGTTCTTCTTTCATGGGGAAAGTAGATAGATGCTCCATTTAAAGGAACAGTTTCTTGGAGCAGGTCAAAGAATAGTCTTAACACATTTTTAATGTTGATGGGTGGCAGTAAAATGCTGTACAAAGGTGCACATGCCTGTTATAACCCTTAGAAAGAAAATTGGGGAGGAGCCACATGGTAGGAAGGGGAGGAGCTGTCATAAAAATCTTCCTTTTTGACAGAAGACATGTCATATTTCTGCTAATATTTTATTCTGATAACGTATCACTATGTAAACAGAACAATCTGATTATGTATTGATTTGGAGGTCTGAATGCATTTTTATCTGACTGTGAAGTTTTGTGCAGAGATCTATTCCAACCTATGCAGGAAAGACATTCCATTGTTGTTTTCCTAAAATTTGGAAGGTAAGCCCTGACCTCGACTCAACTTGGCCAAAGGCCAGAGATCATGCCAGAAAATGGAATCATTTTTTTGTTAGGGAAACTTGAAGTCTAATATAGAATAAACTACAATATTCTTCAAAATATTGGAACATGGATGGTTTTCCACCTTATAACCGCAACAAAAAAAATCATCCATTGCTTTTATATCTAAACATTAGACCTTCATTGGTCTCTAACAAGCTGCAGCTGATCAACCAAAATGTTGTAGGTTTAGTTCTGACAAACACCTCGATCGTATGATATAATTCCCTGCACTGTTTGGTTTTGGATTTGAGTACATTTCCAGGTCTGTCAGGTACAAACCACATTGATCCATCAGTTAATAATACATAAATGCAGTGAGGTTCAAAGACCACTGCTAGTTACTAAATCAGTGTACAACTGTGTGTTCGATTTGTATGTATATATATATATATATATATATATATAAGGG